CATGCTCCAGCCATGGACAAAGCTCGCCACTGTTGTCCCTTTGGTTATGGGAAGGCTATGCATGGCTGACCCGTAATATATATATAACATGGCCGGAGGTCATGCACAGTGTCATTTTTCTACACAAAGGGACAAAATTACCAATCGTTGGTAATCCCGACTCATAACACATATTTTCACTGGCCAGCAAGTATGTCCTCCGTGTTAGTAGGTATCTCTGGCCAGCGAAGCTTGGCTCGGGACTATGATATTGTAGTGCACACCCATACCACTTATTCCTCATTCTGGTGCAACACCAACCATGCACAACAGCAATATACTGATACCGGCCATGGTCAGTAGGCAAATGAGAGTAGCGAATATTCATTTACGTAGTCCCCTTCAACACATGAGGAGTTTCCTTCTTCGCTGCATATGCCTATATATTTCTTATTCTTAAATATCTGAACATATATTGACATGTACCTTGTTGTTACTGCAGATAAACACAAGCCCATGAATCTAAGCTCATGGGGATTATTCGGAATAATTATGGGAGTAGTGGCTTGGCAAGCATGGATGGACGAACTTTGCCCGTCTGGCGAAGCAAGGCATCCGCACCAGTGAAGCTTGGTGCTGGCGATGCTGCCGACTTCGCCAAAAAGAGGCTCGATGGCAAAAGCATGGAAATGAACTTGATTCCTAGAACAATGCCGTTGGATGCTAATTGAAGACAGGAAATCCCGCCAGAATCTAACCAAAGGTGCTGTCTTAGTCACCATCAACCACTTGCAGCCATATTTAATGCAAGGGTGGCTACACAAGTTCCATGGCCTTGGAAACTGTTGTAAAAGATTGTTATCTGCTGGCAGAATCTTCCAAAATCTTGTGCAGAGCCTAGGGAGCTCACCAAATCTTGTACAGATGTTGTTTTTGCCGGCTACACTTAAGTACCTCCCCAAAGATGGCATTTCGTATGGCTGGGGACATTGCAAAAAATATAAAATTTCCTACTTCTTCGCCAGAACCAGCAAAACTTCGTTGGGATCGTTGGACAATTGATAATGCCACTGTCACAGAGTTGCCAGTAGTGCCTGGAACTACCAAAAATTCGACAACTCACCCTAACTTTTCTGCACACCTCTGAGCCACCAACCAGAAATTACAACAATACTACTGCATATATATATATATATATATATATTATATGCTCTTCATTTTCAAGAGCACACAGAGAGAGAAACGCATGTAGCACAACAACAAACTTACACACCAAAACTCTCGTTTTCTCCAAAGAAAAATAGGTTCCATCTTCAACCCACTGTTCTTCACGCAGAAATCACCCATAAACCACCATTTTTTCTTGGGTTTCTAGTGTCTCTAGTTCTGCAAAGTATTTTCCAACTCTGCAGAATATTTTCTAGCTCTACAAAGTATTTTCCAGTACCGCAGAACATTCCCCAGCTCTGTAGAACATTTTCCCACACTGTAGAATATTTTCCAACATTGTAGAATATCACCCAGCACTGCAGAATATTTCCCAATTTGCAAAATATTATGGCTGGGGAACAACATGCTACAGTTTTAGTTTTCAGATAATTCTTCTCGAGCATCAGATGATCAAGGTCGCAAGGTTAGCATCAAAACGGGATCAAGCATTCCATTCGTAAGGTCCCAAGCAGTCACTTTTCCTTCTCCCATCACCACTTTTGGGTTTATCCCTTTTGTCTTTGAAAGAATCTCAAGAGTGAAGTTGCTGCACTTTTCATTCGCAATATGAGAATTGTTCATTATAGAGTAAAGATATAAACTAGAGATGAAGGAGGTTATATTTATTATCATTATTATCATGTCACAATGATTTATGTATGAATATGACTCTCAAGTTGTAATCTTTGAACCACATGTATTTTTTCATCTTTGCTGCCCCTCCATAACAATATACAACTTCCATCCATCATGTTTTTGGTTGTTGTGTGATCACCTTAAACCCCCAGAATCCCACCACTACTGCCCAGCTTTACCGGCTTGGTTGAAAAGTTCATCTTTTAAAGGCTTTTGCTGGAAAATGCACTGCAAGATATCATCACCCAATAGAACGAGATGGCCCGTAACATGTAGCCTCCTACACATGGGACGAGTGCCGCGAAAAGAACCCCCCTCATTTTCTCGAGTGTCATCCTAGTCAGCTTCCACGTCACCACCGTTGTTGACTCATCCATCTACATCACCAACACCCTCGAACAATGATTATGTGCATGTAAGGTTCTCGTGCAAGTATGTTATATGCTTTTATCTCTATTTATTTGTTTGAGTGAGATAACCTTTTGTAGAGTTAATAATTGTACAAGGATCCAATATTAATGTAATTCTATTTGTAAGGCCTGTTCGAAGAAATTAATAAAAAAAAAAACTCTACAGCAATGTATATTTCTTTGGGTTTGGTGTAAGAAATAATTAAATATTTTATGAAAAAATAATAAATAAGATATTTAATAAAGTTAGGAGCATCTTGATTCACCATGATTTTTATCGTATTGAAGGAATAAAAAAATTATTTGAGAATAAAGAAGTAGGTGGTGCACATTTTTTTGAATTAATTTAGTTGAAAATTTATATTTTCATAAAATTCTTTTTCATTAATTTTGTTACTTATTATGATTTTCTTTTGTGACAAATTGTATATATCATCACAAAATATAATTGTTACAAATCAAAAAGTTTAGTCACAAATAAAATTTGATATATGTGACAAAAATTAATCATTTGTAACTAATATTTTATTAGTAACTAATAGTTAATCTAGAGTGACAATTTTGATTATAACAAATTCATATTATTTATTGTGACTAATTTTTTGTGACTAAATGTAGGTTTTGTGTCAAAATTATATATTTTGAATTTTTGAAAATTAATATTAGAGACCAATATTTTGAATTAGTTACAAATGTAACAGATATTAGTGACAAACTAGAAATCAATCACAAAAAGTACATTTTCTTGTAGTGACTCCATTACACATTGACGGTCTCCATTACTGAATATGTTATACATTGACGGTTCACTAAAAATGACTTATTGTTCTGGGTACAAAATTAGAACCTATAAAGTTCCAAATGAAAAACTAACTATTCAAAATATAGATCAATGTCTCTTGAACACCCAAACAAAATTTTAACTCAATCCAATGTTGAACTTTTGCAAATTAAACAAAATAACAAAGTTATGTACAGTACCAAAACTATAAAAAAAAAAAAGAAAAAAAAAAAGATCACCAAAAATGAGATATTGTTTTAGACACAAAATTAGAACCTACAAAGTTCAAAATAAAAACTTGACCACTCAAAATGTAAATCAATTTCTCTTGAACATCTAGACAAAATTTTAACTCAATCAAACAGTGAATTTTTGCAAATTGGACAAAATGGCAAAACTACATATGGTACAAAAATTGTAGAAATTTCCCTTGTTTTCTTTTCCTTTTTCTACCAATTGGCTCCACTCACATGCACTCCACTTTTTACTATATCATCCTAAAAACAGACTTGTTTTATGTGTCTAATGGGCTGCAAAATCATGGGCTAAAACAAAGATGATTTTGTGAGAAAATAAACTCTTCCTCAAGATATTGGAGACTTAAGATTCTGATTTAGTGATTGAATGTACTGCTTGGTTGGAATAGCGAGGGGAGAAAGGAAAGGAGAGAAAGAAAGAAAGGGTTGGGTGTATTTGAGGAGTTACAAGAGAAATATGTAACAGATTAAGTAATGAAAACTGTTAATATGTAACAGAGTGTATAATTTTGCATAGTGTATATATCATTTTTCAAAAATAAAAAGTTGACTTATTTTTGTTAACCGCCTAATTAAATTGTTTCATATTGCATTGAGGTTAAATTAAAGTTTATTTTCATAATTTTTTTATACAAATTAATAGTGAAAAAGTGTAATAAATGCATCATTTACATGTATTTTTAAGGTATAAATTAAAAAATCCAAAAAATAAATTTCTAATTTAATCAACCGTTCAATTAAAATGTTACATATGGCACTAGAATTGAAAATAAAATTTGCTTTTATAACTTTTTTATAAAAATTA